CTGAGGGAGCGTCGCACTGTCGGAGGGTCAGTGCTGAGGGAGCGTCGCACTGTCGGAGGGTCAGTGCTGAGGGAGCGCCGCACTGTCCGAGGGTCAGTGCTGAGGGAGTGCCGCACTGTCCGAGGGTCAGTGCTGAGGGAGTGCCTCACTGTCGGAGGGTCAGTGCTGAGGGAGTGCCACACTGTCCGAGGGTCAGTGCTGAGGGAGTGCCGCACTGTTGGACAGTCAGTGCTGGGGGTGTGCCGCACTGTCCGAGGGTCAGTGCTGAGGGAGCGCCGCACTGTCGGAGGGTCAGTGCTGAGGGAGCGCCGCACTGTCCGAGGGTCAGTGCTGAGGGAGCGCCGCACTGTCCGAGGGTCAGTGCTGAGGGAGCACCGCACTGTTGGACAGTCAGTGCTGGGGGAGCGCCGCACTGTCCGAGGGTCATTCTTTTGGATGAGATATTAAAGTGAGACCCAGTATTGCCATCTCTGATGGTTGTTAATGTTCTTAGATATGATCTCCCACAAAAACAATAAATAGAACCTTCAGGTTCATGGGGAGCGTTTCTGTTAAATATCATGTAACAGATGGGGTAGCACGGTGGCTCAGTGGTTAGTACTACTGCCTCACTGTACCAGGGACCCGGGTTCAATTCCACCTTCAGGCATCTCTCTGTGTGGAGTTTGCACGTTCACCCTGTGTCTGTATGGGGTTGCTCTGGTTTCCTGCCACAGTCCAAAGATGTGCAGGCTAGGTAGATTGGCCATGCTAAATTGCCTGTAGTGTTCAGGCATGTGTAGTTTAGGGGGTCTGGGTGGGATACTCCAATGGTTGGTGTGGATTTGTTGGGCTGGAGGGCCTGTTTCCACATTGTAGGGGTTCTATGAACCCTCACCATCTGGTCATTTTCATATTGGTGTTGGTGGGATTTTACTGTGAGTGTAATCGCTGCTGGTTCTCTGTAGGGACTTTTTAACAAGTTGTTATGTGTAAAGTGCTTTGGAAGGTACTGAACCTGTGAAGGTGTTATATAAAGGCAAATGTTCTTTCCCTTAGCTCCCAGTCTCTGCTGAGTGATGATGGAGAGGCAGGACAGATTTATAGATCTACTGGAAGCACATATGGATCATCCGGATCATTTGTAAACCTGTCTAGCCCTTACACTGCCTCACCCGGCTCATACAAGAGCTCTCTCAGTGACCAACAGCTTCACCAGGCTCCTGGGCATCCTGTAAACTATCAGACTGTGCCACGCTCCCGGGGGAAAGGTGACCACACGAGTCAACAAGCAGCCTCTGGCAGCACCCTGGGTAAGCCAATAGTGCCCCAGATTAAAGAACACGCGAGTAGCTGCCCACCATCTGCTGCCAATTCCTGCACAGACATCCCCATCCTCTTGGTGAACGGGAGCACACAATACTTGGAGCAAAACGCTCACAAGGTGAAGAATGAAAGATACCAATCCAGCTCTGCAAGTACACCGAGTCTTCCCCTCAATACTTGTTCCAACCTTCGATTCGCAAAGGCTTCCAGTACCCCCTCCCTTAAAGGTAAGCCAATCACAGTTCCACCCATTTGTTGCCTCTTACTGGCCGCCACTTATTCAACATCCTCAAATTAATCGCTTCTGAAATCCTTGAGTGGCAATCTCCCCTCGTTCTAGATCCTATTCGGAATTCTGCTCCTCTGTCTGATCTCCTGTGGATCAACCACCCAATCCCTTCACCTTGCTACAACCCTTTTTATCCTCAAAAATCTCCTTAAAACTTCCCTCTTTTACATCCTCTGCATTACCTCCCCAACTTTGCCCTTCTTATTTCTTCACTTGAATTTATTCCTTTAAGGAAAGGATAAGCAGGGGCTGTGAGGGAAACATGTGAAACTCCAACAGGGTTAGACAGACTAGAGGCAGGGAGGAGGTTTGCCCTGGGTGGGGGGACTCTAGAAGCAGGGCACACCATCTCAGGATATGGGGTAGGATTGAGATGAGGAAAGATTTCTTTCTCAGAGGCTGGTGAACCTGTGGAATTCTCTACCGCAGAAGGCTTCGGAGGCAAATTCACTGAATATATTCATGAAAGAGATAGCTATATTTCTACCTTTTTAAAAGCATCGAGGGCTATAGAGAGAAAGCAGGAATATCAAATTGATGTAGAGGATCTGCCACGATGGGGTGGTGGGTCAGGCTCAAAGGGCTGAATGGTCTACTCCTCCTGCTCCTTGTTTTTATGTTAAGAAGCAATTTGGGCAGTTCTACCGTGTGACAATCTCTCTGAACACGTTCTCCATGCTGTTGGCGACTTTGCTGTCATTGCTGTTCAGGTGATCTGGCAATGAGCAAAATCCTCAGGCAACCACTTCCAAACCCACAACCACTTCCATTGAGAAAGACAAGGTCAGCAGATACATGGGAATGCCACCCCCTGCAAGTTCATCTCCAAGCCACTCACCATCCTGACTTGGAAATATATCGCCGTTCCTTCACTGTCAGTGGGTCACAATCCTGGAATTCCGTCCCTAAGGGCATTGTGGGTCTACCCTACAGCACATGGACTGCAGCAGCTCAAGAAGGCAGCTTACCACCATCTCAAAGGCAGCGAGGGACGGGCAATAAATGCTGGTCAGGCAGTGACGCCCACATCCCAGAAATGACCTTTTAAAAAGTTGAGGACAGTGATGGTGATAATATGAATGTTGCTTCCATTTGACTTGTTAACTATGTTGATGGAAACCTGTGTATTTTCTCAAATTTGTTTCTAACCTTGTCTTCTCAAATGTTCTTGTTAATTCTCTCCTCCAGATCTCCCGTGTGAGACACACCCTACAGTTAAATTTGTACAAGATACATCCAAATATTGGTACAAACCGAATATCAGCCGGGATCAAGGTAAGGTCATATTCACTGCAATTATTGTGACAATTAACCCAGATTCAATCCCATTCTGAACCACATCAGACACATGTTTAAATTCCCTAAACAGCTCAACATAATGTGGGATGCAGCTTCTGAGCTGTAGTTACTCTGCACTTTCATCATTGAGACTGCCAATTCCTGCAGTGCATCACTGCGGATGTGTACTGCCCAAACAGTACTATTCATAACTCCTCAGATACCAAAGCAGTCTGTGTCCATGCACATAAAAACCTGGACATCATTATCCTGCATTTTCCTGACTCCTGAAAGCCTAACCACCATCTACAAGGCACAAGTCAGGAGTGTGATGGAATACTGCCCACTTGCCTGGATGAGTGCAGCTCCAACAACACTCAAGAAACTCAACGCCATCCAGGACAAAGCAGCCCACTTGATTGGCACCACATCCATAAACATCCACTACCCTCACCATCAACGCTCAGTAGCAGAGCGGTGTGTAAAATCTACAAGATGCACTGCAGAAATTCGCCAAAAATCCTCAGTCAGCATCTTCCAAATCTACGACCACTTCCATCTAGAAGGACAGGGGTAGCAGTTACATGAGAACACCACCCCCTGCAATTTCCTCGCTGAGCCACTCACCATCCTGACTTGGAAATATATTCCTGTTCCTTCATTGTCGCTGGGTCACAATTCTGGAATCCCCTCCCTAAGGGCATTGTGGGTCAACCTACAGCAGATGGACTGCAGTGGTTCAAGAAGGCAGCTCACAACCACTTTCTCAAGGGGGCAATTAGGGACGGGCAATATATGCTGGCGAGCCAGAAATGCACACATCCCATGAATGAATAAAAACATGCCGTGATTCAGCACAGCTCCAGATTTCACCTGTAGATTTCTTTTCAGTAAATTCCGTCTCATTGGAGGAGTTACTGCAAGTTTCATCTCCCAGTCCCTGGAATGGTGCACAGTATGAGGGACAGTGGGCAGGCTAGGTTGTATTCACTGGGGTTTCAAAGGGCTTCAAGGCAAGTTGATTGAAACATAGAAAATCCAGATGGGTTTTGACCGGGTGGATGTGGAGACACTGTTTCATCTTGTTGGTGATTCTAGATTGAGGGGGCCACTGTTTAAAAATTAGGTGTCGCCCAGTTAAGACCAAGATTAGGAGAATTTATTTTCTCCCAGAGAATTGAGTCTTTGCCTTTGAGGAAGAGAATTCCAATGGGAGTTGAGTTTCTGAATGTTTTTAAGGTAGACATTTGACTTCTGTTAAGCAAAGAGGGGTGAAAGGTTTCTGTCCAATCAGACCAGCCATGATCTTACTGAATAGTGGAATAGATTCCAGGGCCTATCCTTGCCCCGAAGTCAGATCTTTGTGTCTGTGTTAATTTGTGATTGTTGCTAAGTGCAAAATGAAAGCAGATTATCAAATGTCTCCAGCTGGAAAATGTACTTGTACAGGGTGATGCCTTCCATAGTTGGATTGCCTTCCAGTATTTGTTACCTCAATATCCCAGCACTTATCAACCCAATCAGGAGACAACTAGTTAATAGGATGTAGGGAATCTTTACATCACAAATAGTGTCAACACTTCAAAAGTACTTCATTGGCTGCAAGGCATGGTGGCTTGGTGGTTAGCACTGCTGCCTCACAGTGCTGGGGACCTGGGTTCAATTCTAGCCTCAGGTGATCCTCTATGTGGAGTTTGCACATTCTGCATGGGTTTCCAAAGGTGGATTGGCTATCCTAAATTTCCCACAGGTGTTTGGGTTAGACAAGGGGAATGGGTCAGGGTGGGATGCTCTTCATAGGGGTGGTGTGGACTTGTTGGGCCGAATGGCCTGTTTCCACACTGTAGGGTTTCTATGATTATAGCAAGTTGCTGTATAAATGCAAGTCTTTTTTATTTTTTCATGGGATGAGAGCGTTGCTGGACAGGCATTTATTGCCCATCCCTAATTGCCCAGAGGGCAGTTCAGAGTCAACCACATTGCTGTGGTTCTGGAGGCACATGTAGGCCAGACCAGGTAAGGATGGTAGTTTCCTTCACTAAAGGACATTAGTGAACCAGATGGGTTTTCCAACAGTTGGGAGTTTGTTTAATTTTTTTTATTAACCTATTTTTCTAATCAACCTGTTCAGGGATGTTATTACATACCTCAGGAGCAGGTTGGACTTATACCTGGTCCAGCGGTAGCGACACTAGAGGGGGAAGTTTGCTCATTGTTTGTTGTTTGATTTGTTGCAGCTGTGGAAATGTTGAAAGACAAGGAGCCGGGTGCATTTGTTATTCGAGAAAGCTCCACGTATGTTGGTTCATTTGGATTGGCAATGAAAGTCTCTGCAGGAGATCTCAGAAACTCGGAGGAAAAGCCAGGTCTGTACTCTGTTAGATATCTGTACACAAATATACATCCTCTACTATTGTAGGGAACATTGAAATTATATACAGATTATAAAGCTATATTGCACATTGTAACAGTGAGGGTGTGTGTTATATATTGTGAGTAATACCGGTGGATTATGTAAATAATAGAATTGAATTGTATGTTATATGCCACAATGGGACAAGTTAGGTTTATGTTCTTGATTGGAATCTTGCTCATTCATAACAAAGCAACTCTTGTCCTCCAAGAGTAACTATCAGGAACATGTTACAAAACTCCTCTACTGTTTTAAGTTTAGGCTGCTTCAACAAGAGAGTTTCTAAAACGACAGAGTGACTTGGGAGGGTGGCAATAATGAGAAAGGGCAGTTTAGGTGTTTCTGTGATCTCCAAAATGAAGTGTCACAGTCTGCTGGAGAATAAACAGAGTGAGCTAGCTGCAGTCCCAGCTGAGATCTGACTTACTAACAGCAGGTATATCGGGGCGTACTGAGCTGATCGAGACCAAAGGATCCAAAGTGGGGTGTATGTGTCAAACACTTTGATCCAAAAGATGGCTGAGTGTAGAGCCAGAACCTGTAGTGTCCTGTTTTAATTGGGTTTGATGTTGGGTGTGAAAGTGAAGTTGTGTGGTGTATGAGCTGTGTGTGTGTCAGCGAGAAAGAGTTACCATATTCTGAGGTAGATTTCTGAGCTACACTGAATGCGGATGAGATTACCAGTCTTGGGGTTTTATGAAGCTATGTGCCACAGCTCACAGCTGTTCCTGTCACTGGAGGTCAATTTTAACAACAGGTTTGTGACCTTTAAGATTGTGTGAATTGTAATATGAGAGAGGTGGGCTGTGAGATGGTCACTACGATAGTGGCCTTGGAGTATGGTCAGTAATCTTAAAGAGAGGATTTACAGCCAGATTGAGGGAACACAGCCAGACAGACAGATAAACAGAGAAATATGCTGGCAGATACCAGAATGAGGATGAGATCTCCATTATTAGGTTATAAACGGAGTAAAATGATATCCCCAATTCCGCTCTAATTCTCTTGTTTCCCTTTTGTAAACAGATTTTCCCTCTGATTTGGTCCGACATTTTCTGATTGAATTCTCCCGAAAAGGAGTGTGTTTGAAAGGATGTCCCCAAGAGCCATATTTTGGTAAGAAACATCCCACAGTTTCACTGTTCTGTGTGAGTTTCACTGTTTTTCTTTTCCAAAAATATACTTTATTCATTAAAAAACTTTATATATTTACATATAGTCACAAATGCAGTTTGGTTCTGTACAGTAGCATATTAAGGAAACAAACAAACATTAGGGGTTTGACACCATCCAAAAACCAAAAACCTCTCTTACACATACAATACTATACTTAAGGTTCTTGCGAAGATTTGTAGTTCAGGGTGTGGGTGAGGTTGTTGATTTGCTCTCTGAGCTGACTGGTTTCCTTCATCAGAGGCCGCACTGATGATACTACCTAGCATGGTGACAAAACATCTGAACTGCAGCCAGCCAGCTCGGTGAGCAAGTCAACCACCTCACAAAACTATATTACCACAGAGCCTGGGCCTCAGTCTCTCAGCCCTGGAACCACAGTCTGTACACCTGCATGCCACCTCTAACCATTACACTGAAGGGTAACTGTCAGCAGACTATCGGCTTGTTGTGAGTTGGTCAGTCTTTTCTGCTTTAACAGTGATCTGTTTATCTAACAGGGAGCCTATCAGCACTTGTGTACCAACACTGCATCACCACCATGAGCTTACCCTGTAAACTACGCCTGCCAGACAAAGGTGAGACACCAAAACCTGCCGGGAAAAGTCACCAGACCAGGAGAGGGGTTTAAATGGCCAAGGTCAGGGGTAAAGGTCAGGGGTAAGGGTCAGAATGGGTTCCATGTCAGAGAGGGGGTTCAGATTCTTAGCCTGGATCAGGGTAGGGTCACACCCGGGGTTATAAGGTCAGTTTAGGAGTCAGATGAGGGGTTGGGGTCAGGTCAGAGGTCAAGAGGAGGTAGCGTCAGTGCTCAAATGCTAAGAGCTGGGTCAGAGCAGTTGGTGAAATGTGGATAACGTGCAGCGAGAGTGAAGTGTCTGGACAATCTGCTCAAACACTGGACCATGTGGGTCCCGTCTCACACCAGCAGCTGGGTACATGGACCACCCTCTGGGACTATTCATAAAGAAATCCATGGGGCACTGACAGACCTGGGTACCCAGCCACATTGAGCTCTTACTGAGGCTACACAGATTAAACCTGCCCCAGGCTGGAAGTAGAGCCTAAGGCTCAGTCCATGTGTGGGCACTGATTATACACCAGCCCCAAGGCCGGACCCTGAGTGGTCAGACCTGGTCTCCCATCCAGTGTTGGTGAGGTGGAGAGAGGGCAGGGGATGTTTGGCCTGGGTTCTGTGGGCGGTGTGGTGTGGGGGATGCTGTAGCTACACGATGGAGGAAAGAAACAGCCAGAAGGTAGGACGGGGAGAAAAGATCAGGACAGTGAGTGGTCTCTTTGCTCTGTCCTCCTTGAACACAGTGTTTGTTTCTCTTGCAGACTGTTTGAACGACAAGAGTGAAGGAGGTAGTCCAGACTCAACTGACAACTCTACGTCTCCCCCGAGAAAGCAGAGTGCAGGTCAGTGCCCCCTGGCAGGGTATCAGTGAGGAGATTGGGTACAGAGTGACCCCACACCCCCCTCACTATCTGGGTCAATATCAGAGTAACAGACAGAGTCAGTCTCAGAGATGCAATGAGGGTACCTTGTGAATAATCAGGAAGAATTAAAATATGTGATTTAGATCAAATCAGCTCCTTGTTAGAAACAGATGGGATTTAACATGGGAAAAGGAATGTGACTACTGTCCAAGGTAATGGTTCTGAAAGGGTTAATGTTGAAGTTGCCTTAGCTCCACCCAATCATGTGAGGGCCCAGTGTTTATACTGGCCTTTGTAGAGAACTGAGGGATTCTGTCTGGCTCCAGAGAGTCCTTAAGGTTCCACATGGTAGACTAATGAGAACCCTAGGGGTTCAGGTACATAATTCTTTGAAATTTGCATCATGGGTAGACAGGGTGGGTAAGAAGGTGTTTAGCATGCTTGCCTTCATTGCTCAGATCTTTAAGTATAAGAGTTGGGACGTCACGTTGAGTTTGTACAGGACATTGGTGAGGCCTCTTCTGGAGCACTGTATACAGTTTTGGTTGCCCTACTACAGGAAGGATATTATTAAACTGGAGAGTGTTGAGAAAAGATTTACCAGGATGTTGCTGGGAATGGAGGGTTTGAATTATGAAAAGAGGCTGGATAGGCTGGAACTTTATTCCCCGGAGTGTAGAAGGTTGAGGGGTGATCTTATAGAATTCAATAAAGTCATGAGGGTCTCAGATAAGGTAGATAGCAAAGGCCTTTTCCCTAAGGTGGGAGAGTTCAAAACCTGGGGGCATATTTTTAAGGTGAGAGGGGAAAGATTTAAAAAGGACACGAGGGACAATTTTTTGCAGAGTGTGATTAGTGTGTGGGATGAACTTCCAGAGGAAGTGGTGGATTCAGGTACAGTTAAACATTTAAATGACATTTGTATAAGTACATGAATAGGAAAGGTTTGGAGGGATATGGGCCAAAAGCAGGTAGGTGGGGCTAGTTTAGTTTGGGAACATGATTGCATGTGGACTGGTTGGACCGAAGGGTCTGTTTCCATGTCGTATGACTCTATAACTCTATGAATGTCAACTACTTACTGCTGTCATTGCAATAAACCATCTTTTACCTGAGACCAATGCTTCTCCTGTTCAGACACAGCCATGGTCTATCATCTACTGACAGGTCCTAGAGGCCATACAGAATAAGATGGCAGCGAACAACATCAAATAACCTTTTACGACTCTCAATCTCAAAACTGAGTTCCACAACTTCACAGCTTTCCCGCAATTATCCGATTTCCTTACACTTCCCCCACCATCCCTCAGGTGGGTCTTGTTAGCTTTGCTCTCAGGAGAATTGACACGTTTTGTCCTCTTCACAATTCCATTCATTTTACATCCCGACCTCCCCTTTTACCTCCATTTGTCTTTTTTTCTGGGCACCATCACAGTCCTCTCCTCCTCCTCCTCCCCACACACCCCCCCCCCGCCCCCATCAACGGCATCAGAATCACCATTTTCCAGCCCCTTTTACATCTGAAGAAGGGTCATACCGGACCTGAAATGTTAACTCTCTGTTTCTCTCTCCACAGCTGCTGCCAAACCTGCTGAGTTTCTCCAGCACTTTCTGTTTCTGTTTCAGATTTTCAGCATCTGCAGTATTTTACTTTTATTTAACAGCCCCCTTATTTAGGACCACAGACTACAGAGATGGTAGATACCAGGGGGTGCCAGCAATGGGTATTGGGCCAACTAAAGTGTTGCCAATGATGGTGTGTTTTGAAGATCCTGAAGTTCTTAAACTTTATAAAATATTCAGGAAGCCATTAGCAGCTTTTTTTTTGATATTTTTTGATTTTGATTTTATTGTCACGTGTACCGAAATACAGTGAAAAGCTTTGCTTACGAGTGGTACGGGCAGATCGCAGCAAGCAAAGGACTTACAGATCAAAAAGACTTTGAGACATATGGGTTACATTGCAGATCACATTATTTGAGGCTAGAGTCCACTCAATAGTCTGATAACAGCCAGAAAGAAGCTGTTCCTGGACCTGCTGGTGTGTGTGTTCAAGCTTCTGTACCTTCTGCCTGATGGAAGCCTCTGATAACACAATGTGATAGATCTCATAGAAGTGATGAAAGCTTTCCTGAGATGCCACTCCTAATTAATCAATTCATTACAATGCTACAGAGAATCATTGCTGTGCGATCCCCCCTATTCCACATTAACATTAACCCAGATAACAGCCCTAGGCTGTTTACTGAGCACAGTGAACCTGTTGTGTCCAAACACAGTCACAACTCTCCAAAGGAAGAGCTCATGAGTCATTCCCTGGAAAATAGCATCATCCTTAAATTGTTGCTTCCGTGTCTTTGAGACGGGACTTTAAACCGAGGCTCCACCTTCTCCCTCAGACAAGGCAAACAAAAAAACTCTGAAGCCATTATTTTGAAAAGGAGTTCATCCCAGAGTTCCGGGGCAAATATTTATCCATCAAACCACATCACTGGGGTAGATTAAGTGGACTTTATCCCATTGTGGGAGCTTGCTGTGCATCAGTTGGCAGCCGTGTTTCCCACATTACTACAATGGCTACCCATTGGCTGTGAGGTATGTGGGGAGTATCTGTGAGTGTAAAAGGCACTGTGGAAACAGTGTGACTGTGTTTTATTTGGAAGGTGCCTCTGAGTCGGGTGTTGACGAGATGTTTGTTCCTTTCCCAGCATATTGTGTTCTGTACCTGAGCTCAGTAAACATGGAATCTCTGACAGGGCCACAGGCTGTACTCAAGGCAACTTCCTTAACCCTAGAAAAGGAGCCACGTCCTCAACCCACCGTCGTCCAGTTCAAAGTGACCGATCAAGGCATCACCTTGACTGACAGCAAGAGGAAGTGAGTAGCTCCAGCAACGATGGGCAGGGTGGCCATCCAGGCTTGGTGGTGCTGCCTCCTCCTACACATAGAAACGTTTCCTGCAGTTTTTAACTTGGGTGGGCAGAGTGAGTGTGAGGGGGAGGGGGAGGAAGAGAGACCAGGTACATGCAGAGCGAGGGGAGGGAGGGGTGGAAGGTGGGGAGGGGTGGGGTGTAAGGGACAGGGTGGGGAATTGGGGGACGGGGGTTCAGTTGGGTGTGGAGTGATTGTGGTGGGGGGGGTGCGGAGTGAGGAAGAGGGTTGGGGCGTGGAGATGTGGGGGAGGGTGTGCAGAGTGAGGGAATTAGGGTGGGGTGAGTGGGGGTGAGGAGTGGGGGAAGGGTTGGGGAGGGAGTGGGGAGAGGGGGGGTGAGGAGTGGGGGGAGGGTTGGGGAGGGGGGGCGGGGGGGGGGGGGGGGGGGGGGGTGGTGTGATTCCATGAGGGGGATCTCTGAGACAATCCTGGGCAAGGGGAGACCTGAGGGTCCACATATGAGGGAGGGAGACAGGGAGGGGGAGAGGGGTGTATTCCTGCTCCTTGAAGCACCAGAAGGATCCTGGGCAGCACTGTCCTGTTCTGCTTCCACCTGAAACCAAACCATTTCACATGTTTCCTGAAAACAAGCTGTAAAAGTCATAGCTAGGGAGGGGGCAGTGTGTGACTGTGGAGATAAAGACAATGCTGCCGTTTTTTTAATCATTTCCCATTGCTCTCAAGCCCCTTCCTCCAAGTGTCCCAGGTTAAATTGTGGAATCTCAATCCCCACTGAACCAAGGATTCACTGTAATTCAGAGGAACATGGGCTTTTCTGTAACTGAGATGTTGGAACACTGCAGTGACACACCCAGGGGAGGGTCCAGGCGCTATGTGGGCTCGAAGCCACTTTTGGGTTCAGAGGTCAACACCAGGGCAACTTGTGAAAATTCTCCAATTGTCATAAAATCTGACTGTGTTTTTTAATATTTTCTAATCAACGTATTCCAATATTATTACACACCTCTAGAACCTCCTGTTTCCTGTGGTCTATGTGTAACTCCCGTCCAGTGCTACCTGGTGACTTGTTAGCAGACTCTTCTCCAGCTCCTGTTCGATGTTCTCCCCTCCCCAAGTCTCAGAGTAATGGCGGGGGTGGGGATCAATCACTGCAGGGAGCAGCCACAGGATGTGGGTGAAATTGAGGGTTTTGTGGGGGTTAGCTGGCATTGCAGGGACAGGCTTGGGATCTGTGAACAGTGAGCTCCAGTTGTGAAAGATTCATCCAAACCCTGTCCCCAGGGTCTTCGACCTTGTTTCTCACAGGAGCAGATTTTAAAGGGTTAATCTGCAAAGGGCTGGTTACTCTGACTGTTTGACCTTGAGCTGTTGAGGTAATGGGTTTGTGTCTGAGGTGATTTGAAGCCGCATTTTGATCTTTTCTGCCTTTCTCTTTTGAAGACTTTTTTTCAGACGACACTATCCTGCCAGCTCTGTCAATCACTGCGGTTTGGATCCACTGCAGAGGAAGTAAGTGTGTGTTAGTCTGGGTACAGTGTGCAATGCAACTGCAAAGTGAGCATTTGGCTTGTCATTCCCCCCAACCTCCCCACGCCCCTACATCGCAGCGTGACACTGAGCCTCACCCCAGGGTGGGGAGTGAGCAGAGCTGGAGGTTTAAAGCACAGCTCACTGATTTGGCTGAGCTGGTAAGTGCTGACATGAGAAGTCTGTTCCAAAGGCAGAGAGGCAGGTTTGGACGTGGAGCTGAGGTCACCACACAGAGTTCCACCCTGTTATTGGGTGTTCCATATAGAAATCCCACACTCTTCACTCTGATAAACACAGGAACTGCCTTCTGATTCAAAACATTTCAAGTTAGGAGAAATGATTAATTCCTTTTTGAAAAGCAGAATTATATCCTCAATATTCAGTTATTCTATCCCAACAAGCTCACAGGAAACAGTGATTAACAAGTAGCTAATCTGTGCTACTTCATTGATATATCATTCAATCCAGGGGAATGGAGTACATCGTTCATTACTGAAAGGAAGACTTGCATTTGTGTAGCACCTTTCACCATTGCAGAATGTCTCCGAGTGCTTTCCAATCAATCCAAGACTTCCTGAAATGCAGTCGCTACCATTATGTACCAGGCAGTTTGACCACAGCAAGATCCCACAAAGTGCAGGTTGGGATAAACATTGCACTTAGGGCATGGTGGGGATCACCTGTCTCTTCTTCATCTGCCAGGTTTGGATGGTTTGGGCTATCAGGAGAGGCCCAATAGGCTGAGGCTACTATCCCTGGAGTGTCGGAGGCTGAGGGGTGACCTTACAGAGGTTTATAAAATCAGGAGGGGCATGGATAGGGTAAATAGACAAGGTCTTTTCCCAACGTAGTAGAGTCCAAAGCTAGAGGGCATAGGTTTAAAGTGAGAGGGGAAAGCTTTAAAAATGACCTAAGGGGCAATTTTTCACACAGAGGGTGGTGCATGTATGGAATGAGCTGCCAGAGGAAGTGGTGGAGGCCAGTACAATTACAGTATTTAAAAGGCATCTGGATGGATATATGAATAAGAAGGGTTTAGAGGGATATGGGCCAAACTCTGGCAAATGGGACTAGATTAATTTAGGAATATCTGGTTAGCATTGAAGAGTTGGACCGAAGGATGGGTTTTCCTGCTGTACAGCTCCATGACTCTATTTGGTCCCAAGGGGGGACGGGGCACTGGTTGAACATTGCCTTGGGAAGATGATGCCTCTGACAGTGCTGCACTCTCCCAGTGGTTTCAAACCCCACCTCTAACATGAACACCTGGCCATCACTGTGATCCCACAGATTAGTTACTTCCCCAGAATTGATTGACAGTTGTGGAAAATGTTTTGTCATCATCACTATCTCCAGCAGTGAGGTCAGTCTCTCCTAAAATGCACAGGAAGCTCTGAAATGTCCAGATTTCAAAAGATCAGGATCCTGATCCAGTGAGAGCTTATTCACCAATCACAGTGATCAATGATTCTTCAACAGGAACCCCCCCCTCCCTGGGTGATGGAGAGATACGGGAAGTGGAGATTCACCCCTAACCTCTACTCCTCCTGAGCACAGTCTCATCAACAGTGTTCCCATCAGGAGACTGGACTGTTGCTTGAGCCATCCCTTACTGAGATAATGTTTGCAGAGATTGGTTTTAATGTTTTGAGTGACAGCTTGGTGAAGCTGATGTGTGGTACACTGCTTGAGGCTCTAGTCCTGATCGGTTAATCCTGCATTGTTAACCAGTCCAACCTCAGGCCAAACAGTGAGACTGTATCAAATCAGCTGACTCAACATAATGGGGAAATTGGCAGTTCCAGAGGTAAAGTCCTATGTGTCTTCAATGGTCTTTGACCTGCTCCTTCCCGTGGAGCTATTAACGACATTAACCTCCTGTGTCTCCTCACTGGGGTGGGTGGGGCTGGGTGTTGATCACCGACATCAGAAGTGAGATTTTCTGCATCATTGTTCCTTAATCAATCCTATTGAATGTAGACTGACTGAGTGTTCAGTGCTTTGCTCTTGTGAGATCTTGCTGTGCACTTGTCTATACAGCAACAGTTAAAGTAACTGCAGGTGAAACAGTTAAAACGGTAACAGGGTTAATGACTGAATGGAGAATCTGGAAGACATTTACATTTTCCCATTGTTTGGTGTTTTCCAGATGGCGTAAGGATAATGAACCTTCCAGGTAAGAGTTTGCTTATTCAATGGTCACAGATAATTGGGCACATTGGTGGGAGGATGGTTTTTGATTTGAAGCTAACCTCTCTCTGGGAGATGGGTGTGGGTCAGCTCAGTCCAGATCGAGACTCTGTTGAGTTTGCTGGAGTGGAGAAGCTCTGGTTTAGGGGCCCAGTTTCAGGCGAATTGTGCCTTGGTCTGGGAGATAGTATGACCCATTCCACAAATCAAACAAGTCAATTGGGTAACTGATTGACTCAAACAGGGATCATCGTTCCAATTGGACAGAGCAATGTTGATCACTTTTAGCTGGGGCCAAGGGGCAGCTGCCCAAACTTTTGAGGAGATGCTGACCTCCTCTCCAAGACCGTCCCTGGGTTACCTGGGAAACTGACACTGTTTCTGATTCCCCATGGCACGTGGCAAAATTGAGGATGGGCAGGGAAAAAGGCAGTGAAGTGTTTAATGATTATATAGGGTGTGGGGCAGCCTCTCTGGGCTAAATAGCCTATTCCATCAGCCACATGGGGACATACAAAGGACATTCCCAAGCAACATGAACTACAGGCCGTTCAACGTAAACGCTCTGCTTTCCTTGTCTAGCCTCAATCAATCATGGAATCATAGAATCCCTTCAGTGTGGAGCAGGCTAATTGGCCCATTCATTCTACACTGACCCTGCAAACAGCATCGCACCCAGACCCACTCTCCCTGCCCTATCCCTGTAACCCTGTATTCCCCATGGCTAACCCACCCAGCATGCACATCCATAGACACTATGGGGTAATTTAGCATGTCGGTCTACTTAACCTGTACATCTTTGGACTGTGGGAGGGAACTGGAAGACCCAGAGGAAACCCACGCAGACCCAGGGAGAATGTCTTTGTGCAATTTGCAGTCACCTCAGGGTGGAATTGAACCAGGACTCTGGCGCTGTGAGACAGTACTGCTAACCACTGAGCCACCATGCTACCCTAAACTCAATTCCCCTTCATGTTTGTACAGGTTTAATGTCAGTGGAATAAAGAAATCCTGCCTCATGATCTATGCGCCGTCTGCCTGCTTAAATCTCATGTTACACCTTGTTGCACATTTTGACCGGAGGACAATCACTGTTGGGGTCAGGGGACACACTCATTTGGAGCAAAGGCCTGTCCAATTAATTCTAACACCCAATCATGACCTCCCTGCACCCCACCTCCAGCACCTATTCCCTTGGAAATTAGGATTGGACTCTGTTTTCACAGAGTGACTGAGTGTGGGAGGTTAAAGGTTTAAATTAGTTGTAGAGTTTGAAGTTTCTGTCAGGGAGTAAATGGTTAATAACAGGGAACTGTAAGAAAACAGAGTGGAAATCAAACCCCCAGACATGATCCAGCTCCTGGGAAGTGTGTAACTGTTAGATTTCATTACATTTCTGTGATTTTTTTTCTTTTAGTAGAATACAGACTGTTCCAGAACCAGAAATAATGTGCAGTGTTTCTTTAAAGATGGCTTTGAGGTAATTTTTATTTTGAATCCATGATGTTCCTCAGATTTGTTTTTCTGTTTTATTTTCAGGCTTTTTGCTTTTGTGGCGAAGAAACAAGGTGACTCATCAGAAAATGTCTGTCACCTATTTGCAGAGTTTGAGCAGGAGCATTCTGCTCACTTCGTCATTAACCTTGTGTCTAAAGTTGTCCTGGAACCGTACAGAATGTGATCGAGAAACCGTGGAGAGTTCCAAAACTCAAGCTTGCAGAGTTCATGCTGGGACCCTGCTCATGGTGGTCAGTGTGTGTCACTCAGAGCTGGAGCCTGATGCACTGCAGTGAAATCCCACTGGCTGGTTAACTGGGCACTTCCACAATGCCACCTGTTGTATCTTGTTTCACAGCTACAGCTAAACACTGAGAGATTTGTCAGTAACCCTCCATGAACACGAGGCTGTGATGGAATGATATCCTATTGCTGTTCTGTCAGTGCGTGGAATGTGTGCAGCTTTTTACAAAAGCCATATTTATATAAAATCACAATCCTACTGCAGCATCTGTTCCCTGCCTTGTAGCATTGTCGAATGTAACATATTTCTCATGAAAACTGTTCCACACCCAACGGCATTATCACATCACCATAATGTTAGTAATATCAACAACTCATCACCTCTCCATCTCATTTATTATTGGTTGACCTGCTGTGTCGATTAATCACCAAAACTCTCCTCCCATTCCTCTAGCTTCAAACTCTCTCTGTTACCAAACCACCCACCTCATTCAGAGAATTCATTCTTTAGTTTGCCTTCACTCCCTCCAACAGACATCAAAACCTCCATTTGCTCTTCCTTTTAGTTCTATGGATTTGGATGTGGCTGGGCCCAGCATTTATTGCCCATCCCTAGTTGCCCCCTTGAGAAGGTGCGGGTGAGCAGCCTTCCTGAACCGCTGCAGTCCATGTGCTGGAGGTAGACCCACATGCCCCTTAGGGAAGGAATTCCAGGATTTTGACCCAGTGACAGTGAAGGAGCAGCGATACATTTCCAGGTCAGGATGGTGAGTGGTTTGGAGAGGAACTCACAGGGGGAGGTGTTCCCATGTACCTGCTGCCCTTGTCATTCTAGATGGAAGTGGTTGCGGGTTTGGAAGGTGCTGGCGAAGGAGAATGGTGAATTTCTGCAGTGCACTGTACAGATTTGTGATAGAATCATCACAGAGCGCTATAGCAGGGAGGAAGCCATTCAGCCCATCATTATTGTGCTGGCTCTCAGCCCACTCCTCGACAGCTTCATGAATGTCCTCTTTCAGATACTTAGTGATTTCCCTGAATGATGTTTTGAGGCAGTGCTCATCATGATCTGACTCTGCATTAAAAAAATGTCATCATGTCACCTCTGGTTCTTTTACCAATCACCGTGGGAGTCCCTCTGGTTAATGACCCTCCTCCCAGTGAAAACAGTGCTGCCTCACTCACTCAAACAAACCATCAAGCACCTTGATATCAAATCTCCTCTAAACCTTCTAATCCCAGCTTCACCAGTCTCTCCACATTCACCTCCTCATTCCCAATCAATCCCCTTTTAGTAAATCCTCTCCACAGGGTTCTAAAAGGGAGTTTACAGAATCGGACAAAATACTCTGGCTCTGTTCAGAGTCATTCTAAAAACATTTAGTGTAACTTTGTGAACTTTTTCATTTCCTTCACCCTCATTTAAAAAATTATCATTTCCTGTATATTCCCTCTACTTGCTCCCTTCAACCGTGCATCACTTTATATTTCTTTGGGTTAAATTCCATCAGCCTCTTGTCTGCCCAACACCAACTCTGTCCCTGTCCTCCTGAATCCTATTGCCATCCTCCTTAACTTTACCTACATTTCAGCGTTTGTGTCCTGTTTCCTCAGGTTGACTAAATTAATTAAATCAAGGTATCTGAAACTCATCGCCTGAAACAGTGGTAGAGACAGGAAAGCTCAAGATATTTAAGAACTGCTCAGACAAGCGTTTGAAATGCTGTAGCACAAAGGCTACAGGTCAAGTGCTGGAAAAATGCAACTGGAATAGTTGGATGTGTAATGACCAGCACGGACACAATGGGCTGAAGGGCCTCTTTCTGTGCTGTGAAAACTCGAAGACAAACTGTGGTCCTGACACTGACCCCTTAGAGACACCGCTGTTTATTTCAGTCTAACCTGAAAAACATCCCTTCACCATTGCTATCTCTCTCTGAGCCAGTATTGGCTCTATCCCTGTCATCCCACAGGCTTGAATCTTGTAAACTAGTCTGAACCCAGGCTTTCGATCAAATGCCATCAGAAAGTCCATAAACACAAGATCCACTGCATTACCCTCAGCAATGTCTCTGTCAGTATATCTAAAAACACAGATGGTTCCTATTTCCAGAATTCAAGCTGTTTTATTCTGAGAGGTACAGATTGTGTCTCATTTCTCCAGATCATGTCATTGGGTATAATACTGGGCTGGATTGTATGTTTTTTGTGGGGGTGAGGGAGAACCTGAATATATGTGCCCCCCACCTCCCACTGTGCTGCCTCTTGTGGCCAAACATTCCCAAACAGTTTCACAGCTGACCCTGAAAAACACAGCAGGCAACAAAGGATGCAGCGATTGGGCTGTGGTTCTCTAGTTAGTTCTTTGAGAATTGCAAGTGGCATCCACTTCCCACACTCACACTGACCCTCTGTAATTCCAAGAATATGGTGCAATGATGTCACATTGTTGACACTCCCTCTGGCCTCACCCAGTGTGTGGGCCACGCCTGAAGTGAGTGTACAATCCAGCACCTTCTTTCTAAAGATTTAGGATATTCTAAACAGTCTGTAACTTAATTAATGCTGGTGTTTATCGTTTTTGATATTGTATTTACAATATAATATATGTCTACCTGCGATCAAACACTGAAGAGCATTTTAAAAAAATAATTCCGAGTTGGTACAGCCTGTGTCCTGTACCCAGTAAACCATGCTGTCTCTTTTAGTAACTCCAACATGTCCCATTCTCTCCCACTTGCTAACTCCACGGTGGGACCATGAACCCATGGCTATTGTCTAGGTACAGAAGACATGGTGCTATGTGCCAGTAAAACCCAGAGTCCTGCCCACACTGTGACACTGTGCAGAGGCTGCTCTCCTTATTGGATGAAGGGTCTAACTTTGTTGGAACCAGTTCCAAGAAGGTTCCTCAGACTAATCCCAGGAATGGTTAGCTTGTGAGGAAACGTTGGAAAGACTGGACTTGTATTGCTGCAGTTTAGAAGAGAAAGAAGTGACGACTGAAACATGGCAGATGCTGAAGGGTCTCAGAGGGACATGGAGAGGGGCTTTCCTCTTGTGGGACAATCTGGAATGAGGGATCCCCCATTTCGAACAGATTTCACCACTTTTTTTTCTCCCAGAGCATTGTGCGTCTTTGGAACGCTTTTCCTGCAAAGGCACTGAAAGCAGAGTTTCAGCATATTTTTTAAGGCAGAGGGAGATAGATTCTCAGAGGCCAGTTGTGAGCCAGGTGTGTGTCCCTGAGCTCACTGGGTCATTGCTGCAGTGTTACAGTGAGAGTTACCCAGTATAGCCCAAGGGGCAGCATTGAATAGCAAAGATCTTTTCCCCAGGGGAGGGGAGTTCAAAACTAGAGGACATAGGTTTAGGGTGAGAGGAGAAAGATTTAAAAGGGACCTGAGGGACAATTTTTTTCACACAGAGTGTGGTTCGTGTGTGGAATGAACTGCCAGAGGAAGTGGTAGATGCTGATACAGTTACAACATTTGAAAGACATTTGGATAAGTACATGAATAGGAAGGGTTTAGAGGGATATGGACCAAACACAGGCAAATGGGACTGGTTCAGTTTAGGAAACCTGGCCGGCATGGATGAGTTGGGCCGAAGGGCCTGTTTCAATGCTCTGTGGCTCTACATGCCAATGCGAGTTCATGGAGCTACCACATGTCAGATACCGATCCCTGTGGACATGGGGTGAGTGTGGCCGGTGCCCACGGACCTTGCCCTGAGATTTTGGTGCCCAGTGCCCAACATGGAGGTCCTTTGAAGCAAGTGGCGAGCTGAATCCACCAGGTGCCCACTCAGTATCGAGCTTATTCAGCACATTCTGTAAGATAGGAAGCTGAATATTAATGAGGTGAGTTGCAACATTGATAAGGTGTTTAACAAGCAACAATGCCCCTTTCACTTGGCAACTTTCAGCTGCAAGTGGAAAACTCACTTCATTGCTCAGCAAAAACAGATGGAATGAGAGACCGAGATAACAAGGTGCAGATCTCAGATTCTCCAGCATCTGCAGTTGCTACTATCTCTGGAATGAGAGACCGCTGCCTTTGATATAGACATCGCTGAGTCTTGTCCAATTCTGCCACAAATTTCACCCTCACCCACATCACTCAGCCCCCAATAAGATCTGCTCCTTCCTTCATTTGTCACTGCTTCTGCCTGTCCTTCCTGTTGGTCTCATCTCGCAATAAATGGTGTGAACATCGCAAAACATCAACATTGTCTAAAGCAGGGGCTTTTGGGGTCAATGTTAGAGTCAGTTTTGTAAAATGATTCTGTCTGTTCCTGCAGGAAAATAGGTTAAAATTGAAATCAGACTGTTGAGATAGTTTTCTAATCAACCTGTTCAGAGATGTTATGATACACGCTGGCTCAGAGACAGGGACACTACAATTGCACCACATCAGCACCTCAAGTCTGGGAGTATTAACACACTCGAAATCCCTTTGAAATTGATTCAGTGATGATCGGATTGAGGTATTTAAGAGAAAGGCTTTGATAGGTTCGACCAAGAGAAACAATCTCCTCTGGAAGGAAGAGGCCAGAACAAAGTGGCAGCTGCTTCACATTCAAGCCAGGTCCCTCCTCAAGAAAAAACAGGAAGCGGACGCTCACACAAAGGGAATGGACATTGGAAGTATCTATCTCCAAAAAATATAGTTGAGACTGAAGGTCATTGAAATGACAAATATATATTAATAGACTTTCCTGGAGCAATAGCTATTCAGGGTGTTGGAGGAAATGTGGGCAGATGTTTTACAAAGACAGAAATGATTCAATTGAAATGGAACATGCCCAGGGACTTACAGATACCTTGCAGTGCATTGTACTTTCTGACAGGCCACAATGAATGAGGCAATGTGTTGCTGACACACAGAGGCGCCAGGAGAGGGAGACAGACTCCACATCTTCATGGATGGTCACAAACGAAGGAGCTTTCATGCAAAAACACAATCTCTTCCCGAGATACAGTTCACACAGAGCACATATCCTGAATGTTTCAGAGAATTTCTTTCTGAGCAGAAGAAACTATCGGAACCAGCCAAGTAACTATACTGAGCATCACATCAACAGCGATTTATTCACAGTCAAACTTCCCAATGATTGTTCCAGATTTATTAATTCTGGAATTTCACTGGGGTACGGTCCCACGCACACTGACTCTCACTGGGGTACAGT